TGTTTGTTTGTTTTGTTTTGAAAGTACCATATTTTGATTGATTTGCTGTGATCCTAATGTCTTTATTTTTTTCTGCAAAAACTGAGAAGTAGTGTGGGCTGATTTCTCCAGAGTATTCACATTTTTTTTGAATTCCTGTTTTCGTGGGTTTCATGAGCTGGAAGCCCAAATTATGTAAAAAATAAATAAATAAATACTTGAAATTGTTTAAATTGTGGGCCCTGAATATATCATCTATTAAATATTAACTTTTTGAATGGAATTATAGAAGTTAAACAACTTTTCCATGATATTCTATTTTTTTGGAAAGGGTCTGTATATATATATCAAATGTAGTAAAAAAAAAATACAGTAAATACAGTAAACTGTGACCCTTTCTTAAAAAGCCTGACATACAAAAACCAGAGATTTGTTAATGTTTCTAAATTGTTTTGACATTAAACAACTTTAACAACAAAAGCTCCTTTAGAATGCGAGGGACGCTGTTGTTATCTGAGACGATCTTTTCTATAAAATTTGATCTGTGTCATTCTGGTGATAAAAGACTTTCTCACAGCTTTTGTCACGTCAGAGAAAACATTTCAGGGCTGGGTTGGTTTTCAGGACAAAGTTTTTCTCACACTTTATAGCCCAATCAAACCCGCTCACTTGGGTTTTATTTAATTCACTAAGGAGCTTAGGGTTTAGCAGCTTTGTCCTCATAAACCTGTTTGGCCCTGAAAGTAAACTAAACTCCTGGTTTTCTGATGGTGGAAATAAAAAAAACAAGACAACGAGAAGAACCCGTCCAGAGGACCGGACTCAACTTTGTTAGATTTATCTACCTGAATTATTGAGCAGCATCAGGACATTTGTCCTACAAAATATTCCACTTTCACTTTCATAGTTACATAAAGTGCATTTCTGAGGATTTTTATTCTTGCAGGTCAGATATTTGGGAAAAGCTGTGACAATAACTTCATCACATTTGCAAATCTTTCTCGTCTTTCCTTAAAAATTGCATGAAGAATTTTAAATTCGAAGCTGAAACCTGAAGCGCATGTGGTATCATTTCGTCATTTCTGTGCAGAGCTGATCATCACCGCCGGCGGTGAGAACATCCCTCCGGTTCCCATCGAGGATGCGGTGAAGAACGAGGTGCCCATCATCAGCAGCGCCATGCTGATCGGAGACAAGCTCAAGTTCCTCTCCGTGCTCCTCACACTTAAAGTAACCGAGCCTTCATCACTGCAGATGCTCTCAGCTGCAACAAAAAAATTACATCTTTATTTATTTTAATCCACAGTGTGTGATGGACGACAACGGAGAACCCACAGACGACTTGAGTCCTGAAGTTCTGGCCTTCTGCCGGCAGCACGGGGTCAAAGCCACCAAGGTGTCGGAGATCATCGCCAACAAGGAGGCAGCAGTTTACAAACTCATCCAGGAAGGGCTGGAGCGGGTCAACGCCCAATCAGCATCCAACGCCCAGAAGATCCAGAAGTGGGTCATCCTCGAGCGAGACTTCAGCGTGACCGGAGGAGAACTGGGTCAGCACAGACAAGCTTTTCTCTCCTGTTCTATGACTGAAAACAAAGTCGGAAGTATTCATGTTTAACTCCTCAGTTAACTAGAGAAAATGCATTTCCTGCAAAAATGCAGTGTGCATGCTTATTGGTGAAGAACTTGCCGAACAACAGCTGAAGTTAGCTAAAAACATGCTGAAATGGAAGAACAATCCTAAAATGGGAAAAGAAAGCAGAAAGAACACATATTTGCTGAATTAGGCTGAAAGAAGCATAAAAGAGTACAAAAACAGTGGAAATTATCTGGAAAAGCTGAAATTAGCCAAAAAAAAAAAAAAAAAACAGCTGAAAAGTGGCTAAAACAGCAGCACGCTTAAATTACCAGAAGGAATTGGAGCACATTTTTGCATAATGAGGCTGAAGAAAGTTGAAATGAGTGCCAAAAATGTGGAATTAGCTGAAAAAGCTAAAATTAGCATAAAACTGCTAAATATTAGCTGAAATGACTGAAACTAGCAGAAATAAGCAGAAAGGAGCATAACAAGCAGAAATAAGTTAGAAGAAGCACAAAAATTTTGTAGTTAGCACAACGAATCTAAAGGAAGCACTGGGGAAAAACAGCTTAGCTGAACGTAGCCGAACAAAAGTTAAAATGTGTCAGAATCAGAATGCCTTTATTGTCATTATACACAAGTACAATGAGCTTGAGTGCAAGGAAGCTGAAAGAAGCTGAACCAGAACAAAATGTGAAAGGATCAGTAAAAGGTTATAAACAGATCTAAAGATGTGAAGGATGTAAAATGAGTTCAATTCATTTCCTAGGAGGAAAAAAATGGCAGAAAAGGCTAAATATTTCAAAAAGCTAAAAAGTTACGCCAACACCAAAAGTCACAGCAGGATTGTTGTGAAAGACGTTTTGATGATTTGTTGAAATGGCACAAAAATTGTGGAACGAGAACGATGCCGAAAAACGAACGAAATAAGTATAGAACCCGGACTAATAATAAATATTAACAGGATCACAATAGTGTGGAATCTTACGAAGCATTCACACTATTAAGGTCAGACATTTAGTTCTGTTTGTTCAGCAGGGCTTAAAGCTCTACTTTGTGGAAGCTGGATATTTAGGATTTACGTCAAATGAATCTTTTTTCTTTCTGTTTTTGTCCGTCTGTGCAGGACCCACCCTGAAACTGAGGAGGCCCATTGTTGTGAAAATGTACCAGGATAAAATTAATGAAATGTACGCAGCGACGGCAGAAAGACTGCAGACTTGACGGCTCCGACAGCGGAGCCCAGTCAGGCAAAAGGTGGAAAAAGCAGCTCTGATTTCCTGTCGTTAGACGTCTTTTTATCGACCGTTTAATAGTTTACTGTTAAATATTCACTTTATGTTGCATCAACTTTATATTTTATACATAAAACTTTTAAGACAAATCTCACCAACAAACATGAAGGATGGAAATCATTCGCTGTTCACATTGTTTTTGTTGTTTTTAACAGAAATCTGTGCAAACATAGAGGATGAGAAGATTCTTGATGATGAGACACGTTTTAATTTCTGACGTTAAGTTTGTACACATCTGGATATTTGTAAGAAAACATCTGTCAAACTGGAGGTGAACAAGTATTTTCAAAACGCGAGTAAAAAAAAATCATTTATTGTAAATCAGTTTTAGTAAATCGATGTAACTTTGTGCTGCTTCGTGTACAGTTTGACTCCTTTTGAAATATATTTATTTTGTAAAAAATGAATTGTCAATAAAAACAAATGATTTGGAAGAAAATTAATAAACGCAAGATGCGCCTTCTTTTCTGAATTCAACTTCTGAAGCAGAAAAAAAACTTGTACAGATTATAAATTTTGATATTTTTTGTTTTTCAGCTGATAAAGTTCAGCACTTAAAATAAAGTGCCACAGCGTCCTTGTAATTTTTTTAGTTATCGTTAAAGATTTTCCCTTAATAAAAATAGAAAAACATTTTTAGATTTCTGAAATCCAACAGATTTGTTAGATCAAGTTAACAACTTATTGCTCCATACTGCAGTCATGTGGCGAAAGTTGACACATCACATCACTCATTGTAAAAACATAAACTTTATTAAAAAAAATACAAAGCAGATTAGAATTTAAAGAAGATATAAAACCAAAGTAAATGGGATAATCATCAGATGCATTGTTTGAGGCAGTAATAATAGTTTTCTGTTGACTGAAATAAAAAAAAAATCACCATTTCTTGGTGCTACCACAGCTGGTTCCCTTCATTTTACTGAAATCTGCAGATCAGAAAAGAACAAACTGGACCTTGCAGCAAAAAACAGACAAATCAACTGAATAAGAACTTTTTTAAACTACAATGGCAGAATCATAAAGTCGTTCCTAATTTGTCAGTAGAAAACCCTATATATTAGCTATGCCTGTTAATGGTGGGTGATCATGTAATTCAGTTTGTGTTTGTTGTCTGTCTGTTAGAAAAAACATGTCTCAAGCCTGTGGGAGAATTTTGTTGAAACATAAAGTGTAGAATGTAGTTAACAATTCAAGATGGCTGCCCCAGTTAATTGACGTTAAACAACTTTGGTGGCAACTGTTAATTTTACAGATATTGAGCTAAAACTTGGCGTGGTAGTAGCTGAGAGTCAACCCCAACGTATATTTTGAGCTCTAGCAGAGCGCACAAACGCTTAGTTAAAAACGATGGGTACATTCGGGTATTTAGTCCTTCTGGTGAGTCGACTCCCGGGTTTTCCTCTCACTTAGTGGTGATGGCGACGCCCTGTTTGAGCCAGGCGTCGTCGTTGAGCAAAGACAGCATGAAGCGAGCCACGTCTCCTCGTGCCACCGAGCTGCGTGCTGGCTGGCCGCTGCGGTCGGGAACAAAGTATCCCTCGTGGGTCAGAAACTCCTGAGCTGCAGAGGAGACACAAACATGTCAACACGTTTTTGTCATGCTGATTGCAAAAAGACAACAGAACAGCTGTAAGCTGGTTAAACTTTTGATTTCATGAGGGAACGATACGTTTGGACTGTTGACAGTGACAACGGCGTGACGTTCACCTGAGGCCGGCAGGTTCTTGAGGCCAGGGGGACGAACCACAGTCCAGTTGACGTCCTCGGTTTCCTGCAGGAAGCACTCCATCTCGTACATGTTGTTGAGCACGCTTCTGATCAGCGGCAGCAGCAGGAACCGGATCAGGTACGAAGACTGAGTTCCAGAGTTAGCTAACGAAACAAGATGGTAAAACAGTAAGACCATTTAAAATTAATTTTTAGTTGACTGAGAGGTTAACTGGTTCCAAAGTACCAGAAGTGAGGAGATCTACTGAAAAAACAGCTGGAAACATCGTTCAGTTTCTGAGTCTGTGCGTCTATTAGCAAAATATCTAGGGTCGTCATCAGATCTACAACTGATTAACTCGTAAAGGTAGCCCAATTCAAGATGGCTGCCACAGCCAATTTTACCAAGCTTGGGATTAATTTTGCTGTGGTAGTAGCTGAGAGTCATTCTCAACACATACTGCATGCTAACACAGCTCAGGAACTTGCATGATGCGCAAAACATTTTCAAGGTTTAACCAAAATTGCTACAACTTCAAATCATGAAATTAGTCTAAAATTATGGCACGATGAGCGGCGACCAATATGCAAGGAGGAACGCTTTTATTTTAAACTGGAGAAAATTAATTTAAATTGTTTTCTTCTTTACTTTCCAGGACACACAATATATTTCTGATTTATTTTATATTTAGATGGAGACACGTGTGATTATGCAACAATCGACACAGTCAATAAGAGGTGTTTTCTATGTATTTCCTGTACTCTGTGCTAAAAGGCAGATATTTTATCTTGGATGTGCAGTTTTAAAACACCGCTCAGTTTTTCATTTTGTCCATTTTTTTTAGGTTTTATTCGACTGTTTTAACTGCAGATCAGAGCAAACCTTGTGGTCTGAGTGCAGGCTGTATCCAGAGATGATTTTCTGGAAGCTTTTAACTGCACAGTCACCGTTAGTAAGTAATTCTAGGAAAAAGTCATTCCCAAAAATGAAAACAAAGTTGGAAATTTATCCCCTAGAGTTAAAACTAGATCTTGATCCAAATGAAAGATGTTTATAAAGCATCTTAGCACTCAACAAATCACAAAGAATGCCACAGAAATCAGAGTGATCTCGACCACAACGCCTACTTTTTCTGCAACAAGAAAAATCGAACAGTTTAGGGGTTATAGTGAAGCTTCAGAATCTTTGTTATAAACAGCATCCAAACTGCTACAGATGTTTCATTTACAGCAATTCTAAACAAATATAAGATGTTTAAAATATAAAGTGTAACAATAACTCTAGCATTTTATGAGCTGGACTGGCTTTAAACGTTTGACTGAAAACTAAAACGTTTAAAAATCTTCCTTTGGAGTTGCTGGAAATGCAAACGAAAGCACCGGAGCTTGTGTTTTGGCTAATTTTCATCAAACGTCTTGACTCACGCTCGGTGTACCAGGACGTCATGGTGATGAGCCTGGTGACTTGGGCCTGTCGCATGGCGCCGGTCACAGCTGACATGGACATGGTGTAGCCCGTCACCCCCGAGAAGAAAGAGGCCGGGAAGCCGAGGCAGGACATGACCACGTCCTGGTCTTTGAAATGAGTCCTCAGACTGTCGGCGGAGAAAATATCAGCCTTCACCACCTGGAAACACAAAGAACGGGGAGTCCAAATGTGCATCGGTGCCTTTATTCCAACATAGATTATAAGGGTGGAAATGACTTTCACAGTTCTGATGCATATGAAATAAAGAGATTTTTATTTATTCCATCTAACAATGTTAAAAAGTGTTTGTTTTATTTCTGCAGCAGGTTCTGCCACAAATAAAAGAATCCAAGTGACGAAATCACAAAAAGCACAATTTTGTTGTTAATTTAATCCTAACGGTTAAGTTTTGTTTATGAAATTCATGGATTCTTCTAAAGTCCTGTTGTTGTTTTGAGCTTTATTTGTATTATTTTATCATTATTGAGCTTTTAAACACAGGTCATCTGTCGGTTGCCAAAATAATAAACTTTACTTCCATTATTTTTATTATTTAATTCATTTATAATTCATGTATTGGTGTGAAAAAAAAGAGTACAACATATATAAAAGCATGTATTGTTATCTAAAATACAATAAAATAATACACTATACAATAACAGTAACATTTCAGAGTACAGAAAAGCAACAGTGATTCTAACATTTGCTGCAGCACTTGGTTATTGTTCTTCAAATAACTATTGTCAAACATTTCCATAGAATGTGGGTTCTTCATCCAAAAACTTCATCAACACATTTGTCAATTTTTTGGATAATAACACATAAAAACACGAGTGTTCACATGAATCTAGTATAAATATCGGTGCACTAATAAGGTAATGTCCATAATAGGTTGGGTATCTAAAATAAAGCAAAATATTAATCACAAATGCCCAAAACAGTGTTATTTTATTTATTTATTTTTTTTGTATTTTAGGCTGCAGATTAAAACAAACTCTGAGTTTTTGTGAGCATTTAGTGTGCACATGATAAAATATATAGAAACGAGCTTCAAAATTAAAACAATTTGTTAATAAATATCTAAATCACCAGAAAGTGTAATTGGGAGTCTCTTGTGGGATTTTAACAGTATTTAAACTGCACTTGAGATCTAAAAGATCTCATCATCCTTTATTGTAATGTAGGTTTTTTTCATAATTGCCAGCTATAAAAATCATAAAAATATCAGATTTAACTTTGAGTGCTGCAGTAAAGTTACATAAAAAGTACTATAAACACCAATAAAAGGCAGCAACCTTTGCTCTGAGCGATTACCTTCAGGTTATCATGGTGCACGACGAGCTTCTCCGGGTTCCTGACCACGGCGGTGACCGTGTGGCCCTGCTCCAGTGCCTGTCTGACCAGATGCTGTCCAGTCTGCCCAGTGGCTCCCAGCAGAGCGATCTTCATCTTCAGACACGCAGAGATGAGTATGAACTTAAAGGGGTCGGTGGGATGAACAACTTCAGCCGCTCGGACTCGATGTGCTGCAGCTGCTTCGAAAGCCAAAGAGGAAAAAGAGGAAACGTTGCGGTGCAATAAGACGCCTGCTCTGATGGAATTTGGTTTCTCACATGGCTGAGTTCATACTGAAAAATGGAATATGTTTGTGGGTTCAAATAAATAAATAAATACCTCCTTAAAGGGAAGAAAATATTTATGCAAAAAAATAAAAAGTAAACCAGCAGTTACAAAAATCATCACAAGCTTTAAATTGACTTTATATAAACTAAAACAGTTCTTTGTTAGTTTTGATTGTTTGATTTTGTGTTAAGATCCATAAAATACCTGACAACAACAACAAAAAATCACAATATATCATAACAAATTATGCAAATGAAGTTTTCTTTAGTCAACAACTCAGAATAAATGTTTCCGTTTCAAGATATAAAACCATGGTCATGAAAAATAGTTTGAAATTTACCAAAACTTGATGTAGTGACTGACAGTCAATGTTGCTGAAAATTAATATTTCTTTTTATTCTTTTACCAGCTTGCACATTTTTAATGTAGGTGTAATAATTACAATTTCATCTGATCAGATGTGAGAAAACCTTTGAAAATACACATTTTACACAAGAATTATGTTTATTTGCAAGAGAAATACAAGCTGATGTTTTTTATAATTAAGCAGGTTACATTAAGGGGTTTTGTCATTTTATTTAAAAGACTAAAATATATATCTAAAGCCTTATTTCTCACAACTGCCTTGTGATGGTCTGGAAATCAGTCTGGGTTTCACCTCAGATAGAACAGCAACGTGATGCACTTTATGATTAAACTAAAATAATTTCAAAAGCGATGAAGTCAGTTCTAATGTGCTTATATTTTACAAATAAAAAATCTGATATCCCTACACAGCACTGGAAAATGTTAAAAACTTAATAGTGTGATCTTAAAAAAAAACCAACTTGAGGATCAAATGATTAATGGTACCAGCTGATACTTTCTACATGTTGAGAGGAGGACAAGGTCCTGTTTCTGCAGATAAATTGGAGACAGCTGCTCTCCACACATACCCATTTAAACTGAGTAGTAAAATTTACTTTGTGTACAAGACATAATGTTATCTCCAAGTGACAAATACAATAGTTCAGAAAATGTAACTTGTCTTATACGAACAGTACTACAAGTAATACAAATTCAAGATTTGACTGAACTCAACTAAAAACACTTAACAAAATTGTGAAATGTTTAAACGTGAAATAAATGAAAAAAGAAATGTGATTCATACCTTTAAATAACAACGACTTTAAATAATTTGAGTAACTATAAGGCTGATATAATTTATATTTAGTAACATAAAGTTTGACCTTACAGACGAGTGAACGCAAAAAAACATGAAGGCAGTGGTGAACTTTGACCTCTGACGTTTATCTGTTAACGCCTTTTCTTTTTCTTAAACGCATTTAACCAAGATAGTCTAAATAAACGTCTCACATATAGATACACGCTTGTTTGTGTGCATATAAAAAACATTTGGTTGAGACGGGTTAAATAACAAACACCATTAGTTAGCTATCGCGTACAGACGCCATCTTTGTTTACACGTTCAGAGTTGCGTTCAAGAGTACCAACATTCCTGAACGTTTGTAAAATAACTTTTCCCGATAAAATATAATGAGTGTCGGTTTGAACTTTATGGCACACAGAGAGTGAGATAAATCAGAAAATACGCACTTTTGATAAGTGCATCTTAAATAAAACCATTGGTAGAGACATCCGTTCGTAAAAGTAACACTAGTCGAGTTAGCTTAGCTTCCGTTCTCGGGCGCCATCTTTGTTTACATATTTAGAGATGCGTTCAAGAGCAGCAATTGCACTCGTAAAACATCGTTTCTCAGTGAAACGTCTTGAACGTGGGTTTTAACTTTTGCTCCGATTAAATAAATCTGCAGTGAGGGGACACGCCAAGAGTGCAGTGACATTTAATGCCAAAATACCATACCATTATAATATAATACCATTATTCTGATGTAACATTGTAACGTGATTGTAATTGTCAAGTCACATTTATTCATATAGCACATTTAAAACAGTAACTGCTATCAAAGTGCTTACCAAATAAGATCACATCATCAAATATTAATAAAAACATATTACAGCGACATGAATAAAAGCATAAAATATGAAATATAATGAGAAACAATGAAATACTAAATCAAATCACCCTGCGTTAAATGTCAGGGAGTCAAAGCAAAATGGATGAACACAATCATCAACAACGAAATACCAAATGAGATCACACTGTGTTAAATGCCAATGAGTACAGATGTGTTTTGAGAAGAGATTTAAAAATAGAGACTGACACAACCTGTAAGCAAACTTTTTCTGGCCCCAGCAGGCATCTTAAGTGCTGGTCCACGTTTAACAGTAAGATGATAAGTTTCTGAGATTTAAGAAAAATCCATGTCTCCATCCATCCATCCATCCATCCATCCATCCATCCATCCATCCATCCATCATCTTTACCCGCTTCTTCCTTTTTGGGTCGTGGGGGCCCATGTCCAGCAGTCACTGTGTGAGGAGGTGTAGGATACACTGTAGTTGCGAGGTCATCACAGGGCATCTATTTATATTTCAATTTATATTCATTCAACCTTTATTTATACAGGTTAGTCTCATTGAGTCACAAGGACTCATTTACAAGAGAGACCTGTTTAAAAAAAACACAGATGAGGTTCACACAATAAAAATTCATATAAAAGCATATAAAATGAAAAATAAATCAAAGAAGTGATATAAAACAAAATAAAAAAAACATGACATTAAAATAAAAAAATAAAAAAACATTATAATTGCCCAAATTGTGATAATTAGCCCTAAATTGAAGCTTTGTTACATTACCTTTTTATTTTTATTTTAAACCAGGTTTCCAATCATATAAATTGAACAAATTAAAGCTCGTGACCACACATGGACAGGCATTGAGTGCACTTCTGATGACACTGAATGTTGGACCCAATATTACCTGCAACATTTTAACTGGTTTGGGTGTGTGAAATATGGTATTTCTGAATTATTTTTAAATAATTTTGGAGTTATGAATATCTTAATTTCAACCAGAAACAGACTTGTTTTAGTTCCAAAACTTGATTGTTTGATTAGATCGGCTTTGTAAACTTTAATTTCTAACTTTTTTTTTGTCATATAAATTATCTTAAAATTGACTTTTTCTTACTTAAACTTGTTTAAAATGTTCTAATTCTGCTTGTGTTGCTCAGTTGTAAACATGTAATAATGTAAGAATATATTTTTGTGATTGGATTATTTTTGCAATGTATAATTACCCATCCATCCATTATCTTTAACCTGATTCTTCCTTTTTAGGTCACGGCATGGGGGTCATCCAGCAATCACTGTGCGAGCATCAGGGACACCCTGGACACGTCACAAGTCCATCACAGGGACACATAGAGACAAACAACCATTCACTCTCTCACTCACACTTAGGGACAATTTAGAGTTGCCGATCAGCCTAACATGTATGTTTTTGGTCTGTGGGAGGAAACCGAAGTACCTGGAGAAAACCCACGCATGCATGGAGAGAACATGCAAACTCCACCCAGAAAGGTCCCCAGCCAGGATTTGATTCGCTGACCCTCTCTCTGAGGGGCGGCAGCTCTACCAACTGCGCCACCGTGCCACACAAATAAATTATTTAAGTTGTAATAAACTAAAATACATTAAAGGTACATTATGATCTGTTTCCATAACAAAATGTATGTTTGGTTCAGTTAAATTTCAGCTCAGCTCCAGTAAAAGACGATTCTACAACAATAAAAAGTCATAAAAATTTAACAAGAACTCTTAAAAGACCATTTTGAACAAAAATTTACTTGTTTTGTTCAATCAAATTCAGCTGAAATCACATGTAAACACTAACTTGGAGTCAAAAATCCTTTTGTAAACAGATGCCGGCCTCCTTCTTGCCAACTTAAAGACTCTTCTAGTCGCATCAAGTCATTAACTCAGGTAATCCACTTTTGGTTTGGTGCTTTGATCATGCAGTCACACACAGACGCTGACAACTAAAGAAGCCTCAGCAGAGTGACTGGACGCTGTTCTACATGAAGCCTCTGAGATGATTTGCTGCAGGATTTTTTATCCACCTCCAATGATCGGACCTCCTGACATCAGCTCCTGATCTGATCCAAGTGAACTTGTGGAGAATGCAACAAGGCAAATGGTTGTTTAAACTTGTACCACAACAGCAAACAACCTGGGAAGTAGTTACTGGATAAAGAAGGCGGTCACGTAAGTAAACAGATTAAAAAATCCCTTGGTGGAGAAAATGACTGGTTTTAAACAAGCATTTTAGTTTATTTATAAAATACAGATTGAAGTATTTTCATCCCACATATCTCGCATTTCAGATCAGGTAGACAATAGAAAACGTCCCAAGTATTTATCATAACCTGGCAATAAATTATGATACATGGCGTGCAAAGGTTAGCCACTAAATATACAATATCTTGACAAAGACCATTATTTTGATTTATCAAAACTGGTCCAAATTATTGAAATACAAAATGATGGTGTGCATCATATAGTCACATCAATAAACGTGTCAATTGTTGATTTTAAGCAAAAACCAACATTTAAAACAAAGTTTGAAGGTTTCTGCAGATATTTTCTTCCTCATCCTTCACAGAATTAGGACAAAAACAGACAGGATTGAGGCCAGTCGCAGAGGTAAGAAGTAAACCAGCAGGTAACAGGATTACAACATGAATGACGTCCAAATTTAGCTCCTCAGCTGCTGAAATAAGCGTTTGACTGAGAGCAGGACTGAAGCAGAACAACTTCAAAATATGTGTTATTGGTAGTATTTGGCTCCAGGGAGTTATATCCATTACATGACGTGTGTTGTAGTTGAAAACATGTACATAATTTACTTTTAGACCCAAATAATAATGAAATGGGGAGACATTTTATCTGTTGTCATGGTTACATTGTGCTCTGAACAGGAACAGTCATGGGATGTGGCGTCTCAAAGTCCAGCCAGTTCAACAAAAACTCAAGGAAAGGTAAAAACAATCATCATAAATCATCAATTAAAAAATATATATATATATTGTTTGCTTCTGAACTTTGGTATCTTTTTGTTTCTACTCTGCTGCACACAGCCGTCACAAGTAAGTTGCATCAGTCTCACCCTGTGCATGTGCACTCTTTTATATAAATAATAAATACTTTGAGATATTTAATAAAATGCTCAAGTAACTAATGGGTGTGCATCTACTTTTGAGTCAGCCAGACTGAAGATGGCTGCCGCAGTTATTTGACATTAGCAAACACAAAAATGGCAAAAACTCTTAAAAGTTTACAGATATAGAGCTAACGTTCGGTGTGGTAGTAGCTGAGAGTCACTTACAGCCCATTCATTGAGCACTAGCATTTTGTGTATAGCATCATTTACAAGCTTTGTCTGAATCAGTGTAACTTTTCTTTCTCAGCTTAATTTAATTTTAGTTTGAAACTCTAGGCCAGGACTATTCAACTGATGTCCCAGGGGATAGGCAGCACGGTGGTGCAACTGGTAGAGCTGCTGCCCCTCAGCGAGCAGGTCCTTGGTTCAAACCCTGGTCCAGGGGCCTTTCTGGGTGGAGTTTGCATGTTCTCTCCGTGCATGCGTGGGTTTTCTCTGGGTGCTCCGGTTTCCTCCCACAGACCAAAAACATGCATGTTAGGCTGATTGGTAACTGTAAATTGTCCACTGGTGTGAGTGAGAGAGTGAATGGTTGTTTGTCTCATTTGTCTCTGTGTCCCTGTGATGGACTGGAGACCTGTCCAGGGTGTACCCTTCCTCTTACACAGTGACTGCTGGATATGGGCACCAGTGACCCCGGTGACCCAAAAAGGAAGAAGCGGGTAAAGGTGACAGATGGATGGATGCTTTGCAATACCGGTATTAAGACCATCCATGTTAATAATCTTGATATTTCTAAAAGAGATGCCAAGTGTTGGTTTATCTTTAGACAGTGAGAGTGAGACATTAAAAGAGATGAGCGTTTAGATCAGAAAGTTTAAATCATAAATTAAATTTATATAATGGCAATAATTTCCAGATGTTTGGCTCCTGGGTTGTTGGCTTTCAGTATCTGCCGCCCCCTGAGAAATGTAGTTGATTGCCCTGCTCTAGGCCTTTAGTTTTTTGCTTTTTTTTATAGTTTTATTATTGGTCTGTTATTGATCATAAACTACAACCTCATGTTGGTGAGCAGAAGCATTGTTAAACTGAACCTGAACTTCACAAGAGACAACAACATTTAAGAAAACACAACTACCCATAGGCAGAAATCTTCCCAAACTTCTTGGAGTCTAAGTTCCAACATTTTATCCATCCATCCATCCATCCATCCATCCATCCATCCATCCATCCATCCATCCATCCATCCATCCATCCATCCATCCATCCATCCATCCATCCATCCATCCATCCATCCATCCATCCATCCATCC